ACACACACACACACACACACACACACACACACACACCTCTTCATAAAATTTCAGGAAGTTCATAGACCACCTGAATCCCTCTGAGGGCCCCGAGTTGTTTGGGAAAAGCAGCATGAACAGCCTCAGTATGGAGAAGAGGCCAGGGGTCCATTGGTTCACCAGGGCACTTGACACCAGTGGTCTCTGGCATCTGGGATCCTGGTAATGGATGCAAAAGGAATAACATTAAGAAATTTAAGAATTCAGTGATTTAGAGAGCAAGACATAATGCATAGTCACAAAGTGGTTACTGGTTAACTCAGTTCTTAGCTACTAATGAAGATCTAATTCAGTTCCTGGATTTCAGACACCATGATTAAGTGGAGAACAGGACTGTAAGACACTGTCTCCCAGGCCTGCCGTTCCCACTCCCAGGTCTCGAATTTGCTTCTGCTGGATTAACAGGCCTTCCCTGGCAGCTTCATGGGCTGAGTGCATTATATGGTGGCAAGCCCACTCTGGGCAACTGTGCAGGTTACAGTTGACTTCTAGTGCCCCGGCCACAACTCCTTTTAAACCCCGCACCATTCCATCCCCTTCCTTCCTCTCCTCCCTGTCCCTCCTAAACTTTTCTGAGGTACGAAGTTTAATGAAGTAAGTAAAGACCAAGACACAAGGACAAACAGGCAAAAGAGGCCCAGATGGGGACCAAGAGGACAGAAGGGACACAACAAGGAGGCCAATTCAACAAGGAGAAGGCAGCTACATGGAGAAGAAAGCAGAATTCTCACATTTACCCAGGCCTGCTCCCTGGGGTGTTGCCCTTGCAGAATGGGAAATGGTGTTTTGACCTCCTCATACCTTAGTTTCCTCTCTCTCTGGCCTGCACACAGCAGTAAGGCCACCACCGTGTGGGTTTGTTATGAATACCAAGTCAGGGACCACACGTAGAGCACTGAGGATGCCTGGCACGTGCTTTATCTTCTTGACCATTGTCCTCATTATTTGAGGTAATACTGCAGTTACTAGTCTTGCCAAGAGTCTTCCTCTTTGAACAACTACTGGGCATTGTTCTTGGACATTTCCATGTATTGACCCTCAAGAAGTAGGTTCCATTATAATTCCACTTGGCCCTTGGGAACCCCAAGGCACAGAACCAATTTGCTCCAGGTGGTCTGGTTGGAGTAGTGGACAGAGCTGGGTTGATTTAAACCCAGGGCATCTGAGATTGGAGCTTGCATGCTTCAACACCAGCACAACCACCTCTGCTGAGTGGCAGTGTCACTGTTGCCATCAAGAATTCTGTGCATTCCAAGCCTTAGGAACAGGAGATAGTGAGAAGAACAGGATGTCCCTGCCAGCCCTACACTGAGAAAAGCAGAAATGTGGGGGTTACCACTGGGAATGGGGCCCCCATCTGGAAAGTTGGCTGGCGCACCTCTGTGGTACTGAACACTTTTATTTGGGAGTGGTATTTGGGGGGAATCGGGAAAGCCTGATGGGTTGTCACACCAGACCATGACAGGACTGCAGAGAAGGGGCAAGGAATGATCCCCCACTTCTCACTGGCCAGTGTTTTCCTGTACTTTTCTGGCATCTCCCTCAAATGAGATTTTGTGAGAATTTGGTTCTGAATCTGGGCCTATTTCCAGAAACTGATGAACCAAAAGGATTTCCCCCAATCATTGGCTTCTCCCTGCCCCAAACTCCAGCAGCCTCCCTGGGCACTGGCTGTCCTATTCCCACTCCATCCTCAATGTCTGACACAGGGTCTGGCCCATGGTGGCCACTTAGGTGCTGGCTGGGTGGAAGGATGGATGCCCGGGTGAACAGTGGACAGGCAGACGTCCTCCTGCCTTACTAGTTCTAACACCTCTGCTCTACCTTTTCCCTCAAATCCCTCAGACGCTGGGGATCACAGTGGCATCAGTTTTCCCTTCTTCATCTCGGCTCCGTAGAAGAGAGTTTGCAGATGACACACAGACTGTGCATCTGTGCCATGCACAGGAGGATCTGCTGCCATTGGCTGTTCTTAGCCAAGGACCTGATGTCTCTAACCTGGAAGAGTGGGCTTGGCCAGGCCATCACACAGCTCTCTAGCTCCAGTACTATAGCGCCCAACTCAGGAAGGTCACAGGTGTCCTGGAGGAGGATTCCTCTGGCCTGAGCCTTGAGTCATGCTTCAGCCTTGTGTTGATTTTGCCAGATGCATGTTCTAGTTTTTACTTCAGCACCAACCCTCTTCTTTTTTATCCCTGGTGGTGATGTAGTCTGGTCATCTGGTTCCCATCATGAAAATAATCAGTCCCGAGGGATGGTCGGACACTGTAAGGTGCCTCCCTGAGAGCCCCGGGGCCTGGGAGCTCTTGGCGCCCTCAGGCCCAGGTGCACTCCTGTTGCTTTGGGGAAGTAGAGCCCTCTGTTGGGTCCAGGTGCTTCTGCACTAACAGCTAGGCAGCTGCCACAACTTCCTCCATTTCCATTTTGCTAAAGTAAGACTGAAAAAGAAGACCTGCGCTTCTGAATACCCACGTTCCCATAAACATGACACTGTTCGACCCTTGATCAGAGGGAACAAGAGAGAGCCTTGTTTCCAGTTGCATTTACTCCATGAGACAGGGTGGCCGGAAGTCTAAGTTTTTCTTACAGAAATTCACAGGATTCCACAAATACTTGTGTCCTGGCTTCTAAGCATCCCCACCAAATAAGTAGGTTTTAAAATATAGGTGTTTGGCTTTCCAGCCACCAGGTCTGAATGTCTCCTGGAAGAAGATAAGAATATCATTTTTAACAAAATGAGAATGCATTTTGCAACAAAGATGTCTGGATCATTTTCAGAGTAGAAGCAAACCCTGAAGGAAGGCGCAGAAGAGTACAGAAGTGCCTAACTCATGCTTATTCTGAGAGTGCTACGCCAGTGGCTAGGGGCTTACTCTGGTGTGTTGCTAGAACATTCACCCACCCATAGCAACCTCCCCCAACACATATGGGATCAGCTATCAGGCAATTGTTCCTAAAGCAGATTAAATGTGCTCAAGAGAAATTTATTAAGTATCTAGTTTTAAGGCCCGAGAAGAAGGTAAAATTAAGCTGATTTCTGAACTCCAGTCTCTCTCTCTCTCTCTCTCTCTCTCTCTCTCTCTCTCTCTCTCTCTCTCTCTCTCTCCTCTATAAGGGGAAAGGCGTTGTTTCCTGCTTCTCACCTGTGAGCTCTCTTACTGTGAAACCAATCATGGAAAATAGGTGGATTGTTCAGAGAGCCTGTGGATTGAGAAATTGAAGGAGGAGGAAAAAAGAAATTGAAACTTCCTGTGGCAGGGACACCTGACCCAAGTCCAGCCTTAGGTCACTGCCCCAGGTCTCTCAGCTGATCCCACCCTCGTGCTTACAAATTTTTAATTTCCTTGTTTTTTTCCTTAATTTTTTACTTGCCAGAAAGTCACTGTACTTAAAAATAGCACATTTTCAAAAACAATCTTCTAAAAAATTTTTTAAACATAAATACCTTTAAAATACAAACATTTTACAAATAAAGCTATTAAAGCACTGCCATTTTAATTCATTCTTTTATTCATCAAATACTGGGCTCCTACTATGGGCATCTTTTAGAGTTCACATTTGAAATGAAGAGAAAAGTTCAGTGGCAATAACAATAGCTAACATTTATTGGGTACTTAGAGTTGTGCGAGAGTAATTTGCACTTATCATCTTACTTAATCTGCCCTTTGAATTCAGGTACAGTTAGTATGTCCACTCACTAACCAAGAAATGGAGAAACTGAGTAATTTGCTCAGAATCACCAATCTGGAAAAGTGGCAGAGCCAGGATTATAACCCATGTTGGTTCACGTTCAGAGAGAGAGCATTTAACCAATGAACTGTAATTTCCTCTGTAATACCTTATGCCATGCACCTGTCAAGTTAGGGAATGAGAGTTGACTACAAAGTGCTTCTCAGCTGTCCATGCCAAGATCTCACTTTCTTGACAACTATGTCTTAAAGTTGCCAGTCTAAAGGCCCTTCTGTGGGCAGTCAACACAGAGCGCGCTCTTGTCTTCTAGTTATCCCTGCCGCAGGGAGAGAAGTGAGTGGGGAGCAGGTCCTGAGTCAGGGCAGGCAGCACCCCAGTGAGGTAACTCTGCTGGGCAATTTCCTGGGTAGAGCGCAGGTGCTCTTTCTTAGTACCGTGACTCTAGGAGTAGAAGATGGTATCTAAAGAACTGAAGGAGTGTCCTCTGAAAAGAGGAACAGAGACCAGTTCCCCACAGTTGGGGTGAATATATATGACATTGAGATATCTTAGCATGGTGCCACAGGCACATGCTCTTGTCATCTGCCCTGATGACCTTGGGAGCCTGTTCTCATCTGGAAGCTGGGGAAGTGGGACTATTGCTAATGATACTTTTCTCTTTCCCCCACAGGCATGAATGCTTTACAGTTACAGAATCTGGCCACACTGGCTGCCGCAGCAGCCGCAGCCCAGACCTCAGCCACCAGCACCAACGCAAACCCTCTCTCTACCACAAGCAGCGCCCTGGGTGCCCTCACGAGCCCCGGTGAGTGGAAGTGTCCTTCCCGGCAGTGATGCAGGAGGAGTGTGGACAGACAGGTCTGAATGTGCCCAGGTGCCAAGGGTGAGGCTAGACATGACCAGGACAGGACCAGGAGACTGGCACTGGACATCTGGGTTATTTTTTTTTTTAAGAAACAAAACTTGAATGTGTGTTTTTGTTTTATTTTCCAAGATGAAATGAGGAAAGTTCTCAGTAAAAGAATCCACTGGGATAGCAGTTCTCACGCATTCGTTTTGTTTCAAAAAAGATTTGTACTGTCCACTCAGTCCTCAGGAAGTCATCTCTGTGAGGAACCTCAGTTTCTCAGGCCTGCTTTTTGTCCAGTCCTCTTTTTAAAAAAAAAGAAAAGAGAAAAAACAATTTAAGAACTTTGTTAAATCACAAAATCCCAATCGTTTTTGGTGTTGGATTTCACACCAGGTCCATCCTTCACATTTGATTTTAAAATCCACAATCTAACAAGAAACATCTTTGTTGTTCATTTATGGTCGGATTCTGGGCTATGTAATTCATTCTTTCTTCCTCAGGAACTTTGTTGCCTTATTCAAAAGCAGATGCCATTTTTCTTTTCATACAAGGCAAATATAGTGTGGTTGCTTGGATACCATGATTTGTTTTCTTTAGGAAAAAAAAAAAAAGGCAGAATGTTTGACTGGCTTTTCTTCTCTGAATTTTCTAGACCTTGATAGATGATCTCACATGAAGGAGTTGGCCTGGACCATCTCCAAGCCTCCTTCTAACTTTGAAAATCCCATGACCCTCTATCAGCTGTGCCCAAACAAGTAGCTAAACTCTACTGAATTATAGGAGGGTTTTCTCCAGCTCACCGGAGACGGCGTTCTTAGGCTTTCAGGGAGCAGTGACATACATTCCTTGTACCTGTAACGCTCGGGAGAACAGCAGCCCTTGGTCTTTATAAAACATTGTCTAAGACTTCTCACCTTCAGTGTGGATTGGATAGAGAAACCTAAGGGATAGTTAGGAGAATCTGGTGGATTTATCCTTCATGTGCAGAAAAATCTCATGGTAACAGCAGAGAGGTATAGTGACTTCATTCTCTAAAATGTTTTAAAAATATTTGACCATGGTTGCTATATGTAGGCTCATTTTATGCCTTGACTTGTATTCCTGAAAAATCAACTGTAAGTCAGTTTTTTTAAGAAACAAAATTATATTTTTAAAGCAGTCCACAAACTTATAGAAATCTTTTCATGGTCCATTTTAAGAAACATAAACACTTTGTTAACAGATTCAAAGTTTGGTCTCTACTTTATCCATTTTATAAATCAAATTTCAAGGTATTTTACTACCTAAGAATTTCTCTTCCCATATTAGGACTATGAAATAATTAAAATAGCGCAGAGTATCATGTGTGCATTTTATTGTTTTTCAAGCTAGAAGACTTACCACTTTAAAAAATCCAACTACAGAAGTGAATGTAGTTGATCAGCATAAATAACTAATTTAATGATATGAATAATGTAATTCATATCTACAAGGCGCCTGGACAGCGTTAGGCACTGGCCTGGAGCTGGGGATATGGCAGTGGACAGATGCCCTTCCTTCTCTCAGGAGTCCTTCAGGTCTCTCGGGAACCTGCACAATAAGCAAATAAATGTATGATATATATGTGCTAAGTAGGTCTTTTAAGAGGATCAAACAGAATAAGGTGAAGAGGGCAAAGGGATTGAAGGAAGTGATCCCTCTCTCAAAAGATGACATTTAAGCAGAAACCTGAATGTAGTGAAGGAAGCCCCAGGGGTCTTCAGGCAGGGAACTGAGCAAGCATCAATGCCAGGGTGGGGGGCTTGGCCTGAAGATAAAGTAGCCTGAAGCACTGGTGCCCAGCGGAGGGAGGAGGGAGAGCCAGAAGGGAGAGGAAGATCCATGCGATGGGCCCACAGCCTTCCCGTTAGTGTAGTGAGGATGGTGAATCTGCTGCAGCCATCTTGAGATGCAGGTGCTCATCCTCGGAAGATGGCTTGAGTGAATGTCCGGAAGAAATTTTTAAAATATTTGGCAATCAGGTATTTTCTCTGAGACCAGAGCAAAAAAGAAAACACACTTGGAGACAGATTTTCATCTTTCTGCTCTAGTCAGACATCAGCATTAGCAAAGCATCCTTCCCACACTCTCACAGAGACATTCTGCCCTTTGCAAATTCTGTGTCATTGAAAGGGATTTTTCTCTTCTCTGTCGAGGAATCCTTTTCATAATAGCCAAAAGTATTTCATTAGAATCCTGAAGTGTACCAGCAAAAACTACTTAAATCTACATTTCAATTATTTTTTCCTAATTGTAACTTAAAAAAGAAACTAGTATTTAAGTGAAAGTAAATTTATTTGTCTAATTTCCATCAGGGATTTTTTCAAAGTGACAAAAATTGTAGTTAGTAGAATTCACAACTCTCCCCTTCATCCAGGCAGTTTCCTATGAAAGAAAAGGGATTGGAAGCCATTCCTAAAGCCAGTGCCTTTGTTTAGTTTTAAAATAATAATACACTGGGCTTATATGTGTACCCGTCACCCTGAAATGTGCGGAAGCCTCATCCTACACAGGCCTTGGTTCTACCCTTGTTTTAAATGTCTCTGAAGCTTCAGACAAATTCATCTAGAAAGGAAAGGGACAATGTAATCCCCCAAACTATTAATTTTTTTAAATAATTGTAAATTTATCTTTTCATTTTTACATACCCAGAAAAAGTCTCCCTACAGCATTATTATAAATGATTTTAAACAGTCTTGGCTTTAAAACATGAAAGATTAAGCTTTAATTTTTGTTAAAAAAAAAATCCCCTTAGGCAATAAATAGGTTCCTTTGTCTCATGGCCTTGAAATAAAAATTAAAATAGTTTAAATTGCCCATGGTTAGAATAAGTGTTACATGCAATTATCAGATGGTAGTGAATAAAATTAGAAATTAAATCATGAAAGAATAAAAACCAGGTAAGTGCATATTATGCCTTTTATGAGTTTCTCACGGGTCTTTTGAAGCCTAATTTAATCGTGTTTCTTGTCTTTTTATTTTGATATGATAATTTTTCCTTTGTTTACTTCAGTCTCCTGTTTAGTTAATTAATTCTTGGGTCGTAGCGCCTTACCCAGTTTTGAACCTGTTTTTGAGGACTGCTTCTCTGTGTTTATAGAAGAAGGCAAGTTGGGAGGCATGCAGTATTCGCCTCCACCCCACGTGTTGTAGACGTGCTGTTTGGTCATTTCGAGAGCTTGCAGGAGAACATTACCATTACTACATGTGAACCCTTCTTTGGCATTTTCTGTCTAAAACCTAATAGTGTATTCATGTGCCACATGATTTTTCTGATCTCCTCCTATTTTCTTTTTTTTTTAATATTTATTGTTTGGTTGTATTTGGAAACAGTGCCTTTATTTATTTATTTTTATGTGGTGCTGAGGATCAAACCCAGGGCCTTGCCCGTGCTAGGCGAGTGCTCTGCTGCTGAGCCACAGCCCCAGCCCAACCTATCTTCTTTTTTAAAGAAAGAGATGTTTTCAAATTCTCCAAATGCTTCTGTGAGTGCAGACTCAGTCAAGTGCACACTTCAGGATAATGAGTGATTTTCTTCAGAGGCGCGAGGCATTTTAAAATGCAGGGAAGCATTGCTCCATTCCCATCGTGGCCTCTTTACTCTCCCCTCTAAATTTTTGGCCATCTTTCTCCCAGTTTCAAGGTGCCCCTACTTCCTTTGGGAAGTGCTGCAGATTCCTTCTGGACTGTTCCAGGGAAAGGGCAGTTGAGGGTGCTTTAATGTGTTTCAGACCTTTCCTGCCCTCCTCACATGGTGACAACTGGTGAGTGGGTACTGTCCCTGTGGCACACCTATCACCAGAGCCAGTTCCCATAAACAACAGGAAACAAGAATTCACATCCGGGTCATCCTACAGCCTTTCCATTTATAGGAGACTTTATCGCCCATCTTTAGGTCATCTGAGAACCTGCATTATGTGGAGATGATAGTTAGTGGCTGATAACCCATTCCTGAACCTTCTAATATGAGCAGAGCAAATATGTAAAAATGAGTTGGGCCCCTGCTGCCCACTCCAGGTGGTGACATGCACTGACACCAAGTGGGCTATGATGAGGCCAGGACAGAGGGACAGACAGACAAAGGGCATTGAGAAAAGCCTTCTCCTTCAGGCTACCGCAGTGATACCTCAACCTCAGAAAATCCAAGCCTAAACTTCTTCCCCCATTGACCAGGTCATCGCACCACACCCCACCTGTTACAGGTATTATTTCAGTCACCAATGGAACTTGGTGGCTGGTGTTCAGAGCCAGCCAAGGCTCAGCAAAACACTCCGGTGCCGCCTCATTCCCCAGGAGTCTTTGGAGTAGCCGATTCCCTGTGAGCATCTTTTCCCTCCCAGTTGACACCGACTTGAACTCCTTTGGCATTCCTGATAGCCTCCAACTAAGCTCCTGCCCTCTGTCCACTTTGCCCACTGCTGGAAAACGAAGCCTCCCCATTCAGACCCTTGTATTCAACTCACCTTGGTCTGGACCAGGGGAAAAGACACTCCTGAGCAGGGTGACTCAGTCCTGTCTCATCTGCTCACTCCTCCACATCAGAACTGCACGGCCTGCCTGGAGTGGTCACACTCCGGTGCCGCCTCATTCCCCAGACACTGAGCCTTCCCACCTTCGTGCTGGTGGATTCCTATACCTAGATGCCTTCTCTCCCCTTTCTTCTGTGAAACCTCCCACATCATTAGATGATGTTAGTGCTCGTTCTTGGGAAGATTAGGTACAGGTCTAAAGCTGGTACTTTTGATACACACTCTAAGAAGTTCCCTTAGGAGCTTTTTGAGGGTGGAGGAGAGAGGGAAGTATCAGCAGGAGTAGGTGACCTGTGAACCACATCCATGCTCCTACGCTGCCAGTGTGCTCTGCACACCACACCTTCACCAAAATACTCATCCTGTAGCTTTGCACAATAGCCACTGGGCGCATGTCTCCTCCCTTGC